GGTTGTTATGGAGATCGGGTATTGACCCAAGTGTTTTTTTTTTTTTTTTTTAGTAGCGCTTTGACTTGTATATGCGGTAAGAGCATTTCGATCCAGGCCTGGGGTGGTAGCGAAAGCGGCAGGCCACTTTGGAAAGGCGCAGTTGTCGACGCGCAAGCCTTGGAAGGTAGCTTCGTCACCTTAGGCAGGCGTGAACTGGCGGTTTAAACCACCAGTATTTGACCCATGCATTGCACGCGGGCTCTTCCCCGCAACTTTCAGAGGCCATAAATGTGATGCTGGCCATCAATGGGATTTATCAACGATCTATCGGCCCCTAAAGTCTCAGCACGTTAACGTGAGGCGCCCGTGGCCGATGCATGGGCCAAGTACTGGTGGTTTAAAGATGTTTTTTGTTGGTTTGGGTTTGGTGTCGGACCAGCTACGGCAGCTCCTTCTATGCTCAGCATCCATCTAATATGAGGGAGAGACCTCTCTCTCCCACGTGAGCAAGGTCAACTTTTACTTGGACAGCGTCTACGGGGCACCGTTGGTCGACCGGACTCGATCCTTGTCGTTTGATGCCGCCTCGACAATAGAAACAAAAAGTATCAAACGAAAGTGAGAAAACCAAAGAAGCCGTTAACACAACCATGAAATTTCAGGGTATTTTACTGTTTTGGTGGTCTTCACAACATACCTCCCACACCTTTTAAACCAAAGTTACCAAACATAATTATAAAAAAAAGAAACCCGGTGGGGATTCCACAAGCATTAGGGTATTTTGATTTAATTTTAAAACTAATGAAACATATGGTATGAATTGTATTCAATGACACTGCGTATGCGTTTTATAGGAAAGTTTATGTGGCTAATGTTCTCATCAGACTTGTTGCAATTTTTCGAATCGATTTATGAGTCAGGACAAATAGGGGAAGTGGTGAGCCAGAGGATTCTCATTCTTTTACACAAAAAGGGGGATAAAACAAATATAAGAAATTATAGACGCATAACTTACCGCGGCTTATAAAATATTGGCTAAGATATTGACTAATCGTATGATTCCGGTAATGACATATATTATTTATCCCTCACAAAGTGGATTTATAAATGGTAGACACATTCAGGATAATATTTTTTTAATTCATGAGATGACTAAGCTTTCTCGACAATCGAAACAGAATGTTGGTTTCATTTTCATTGACTTTGAAAAAAACTATGATCATGTAGATTGATGTTTTTTTTTATGTCTGTCTGAATAAAATGAATTTTGACCAAAATTTAAGAAAATGGGTGAGAATTGTTCATACGAATGCCACAATGAAGGTGCAGGTTAATGGGCTACTTTCTCCGGAAACTAGATTACAAAGATCGGTTAGGCAAGGAAATCCTTTGACTCCTTTTCTGTTTCTTATCAGAAGCTTTACGGGTCAATCTCAGAACTAATCGCAATTTGAAACGTTTGCAGATTTAAGGTATCCCAGAAGACGTTGTCCCCATTACCTCAATGTTTGCGGATGATCTCACAATAATGTTAGAAACATCTTCGTCAAACATGAAGGAGATCCAAAGCCTAATGAGTAAATTCGCACAAGTCTTTGACATGGTGGTTAATTGGGGCAAAAAAACTCAAGGGTGGTGGATTCATTCCAAAGGTGACCGTTCTCTGGAGCTTCTAAGAATTCAATGGTTACCTCTAGAAACTCCGATACGCATCCTAGGAGTGTCACTTACAGCATTTGGTAAACCGGCTACTCATGAAGAAGGGACTTGCAAACCAGTATTAGAAAAAATGAATCAATGGAAAAATCAACGCACTTTTATATTTGGAAGGGTACTTATTATTAACAATGTGATCCTAGCTTCCATCTGATATAAATCAACCCTCTGGTCCATAGGACACACATGAACAAAAGTCCTTCAAAGACAAGTCAGAGTACTCTTCTGGAGAAGGAATCGTGAGTAGGACAAGGTAATTCCAAGAGTGGCTTGACTTTCGATAATCCAAAAAAAAACGAAGGGGGGTCTAAGAATCTTGGATCGTACGCTCCAATATCTGACTTTATCCATCCAGTGGATAAAAAAAAACGATCTTATCCACTGATAAACCATGACAGGGAATAGTGTTGAAACAGATTCGTAGGCTTGCCCCTTTGTCTGATAAGAGTGTTCACCCTCTCACATGGATTGAGGATCGGTTCTGGTCCATCCCAAGGGCTCACACGCACTCTAGAGAGGAAGGGGATCGGGGTAGAGTAAAAAGTGATATTACTCTGGACAATTTGTGGGTAACGATAATGAAATATTAGTGTTGCCTACCATTACCTAACAAACCTTTTCCTGATCGATATGAGGAGATACTTCGTTGACCGCTTTTTGACAATTGATGGATTACAGATACAAATGGCTGCATCTACATCAGTTCAACCCCCCCTGGTCTCACTGAGTCAAAAAAGGAATCTGAAAAATTAAAGACTTATGGGACCCAAGCTCGAAGGACTAGAAGACAACGAAACAATTGAGATATACACGTCGATATGCTCACCATCTGAATTAAAACCTAGATCAAAATTTTTTCTCTATATCCTTGGCTTGGGTAAAAACTCTAAGAAAATGGTCTAAGTTTAAGGAGGGAGATTGGGTGGTGGGGTTTCATCCAGATGGTCAGGAGATAGTGGGTCAAGTGATGCACAATCTCCCACAAGGTTCTTTAATAAACATCTTTAAAATGAGTAAAAATCACTTTTTAACTCGGTTGCCTTCAGATCTAATTGTTTTTTTCCCTCTCTCATACCTCTATAAAATTAGAGTCTTTTTTATCTCCGCTATAAAGGGATGAAGAGTCTTTCATCCAGAGCTTCTTATCCCAGAACTTCCAATAGATCTGACAGAATGGGTTTGGCAAACTAACACGAGGGGCAGGCCGATGACCCTACAGTCACTCACGGTGAAAGCGGCTTACAAACTTCTACGACTAAAAGTTGACATTGCAGCATTTTTGCAAGAGAGATGATCTAGGCACTTGAATTTATACATAAATCTACTCAAGAACATATTTTTTTTTAGAAATATAAGACAAAGACCAGCTAAGTTCGCCTCATCGTAGTGGCAAATTGCACATCGTTGTCTCCCCATAAATGATTGGATTGTTGACCACTCTTCTTTGGAACAAAGAGGTTTAGCCTCCCCGTGGTCCCAAACGCGATCCTGGTCCCAATCGAACCTTATGTGATTATAGTGGTCGTAGAAAGTGTCTCCCTACCACTGCGCAAGTTAGAAGGGGAAACCCTCGTTTCTTAATCAATGAACGACATATGAGAACTTATTGCGAAACATCAGGGTCAGCAGCCTCTACTATCAGGTCGATCTCTATCATGATAGCGAGACAAACAAGGTGATCAGATGGTAGGGGCGAATCGGGCGATCCAGTCTCCTTAGTCCTCACCTCTACCTCACTCCTTCTCGCCTCCATCGCCCATGCTTGACACACCAAACCTTGCGTTTCCTCATGCCTAGCAATCAATGCCTGTTGTGCATTCTGCACTTTCGATGTTTAGGGAAGCTGTCTCCGTGCGAGCAATGGCCAAGGTTCTTCCAGCCCTGATGGGAAGAGGCGTGAGTTTGTGTTGTGTTTCTATCTTATAATCTCAGCCTTGGGCAGTGGGCCCTCTTCCAAAAAAAAAAAAAAAAAAAAAAATCTTCACGGAATCGGAGATAAAAAAAAAAAACAAAACGGAATCACACTAAGGCACCCCCCCTTTAAACCCCTTTAGCGAAGTTTAGCCCCTTTAAAACCAATTTATATATACCCCCCTCTGCACCCCTTGAAAGCCAACTCGCCTCAGGCCACCGCCTAGTTCCCCTGAAAAAAAGAAAAAGGGGAAACTACACGGGAGTCACAAAAATGAGTTATAACTGCAGTATGGGCCAAGATACAGTTTCAAATTGCAGTTCTGGCAACGTATACAACCTTGCTTTCTGGCCAGGTATGGTGGTCGAAGTGCAATTGCAAACTATGTCTTGCCCCATAGTGCAATTATAACTCGTTGGTTTTGACTTGTTTTTATACGAGTATCGCTTGGGTCGGAAGTGGGTCTGGGCTTGTACTGTTGACTTTTGGACAGTAGGCAGGTGTGATGTTTTTTTTTTTTTTTTTTGAGGGTCCGGCGTTTTGGGAACGCCGGACCCCCAGGAGCAAAAAATTCCGACCGGATTTTGGCAAAAAAAGTCTGTTTTTATTTTCTTTTTCTTTTTTTCTATTTCCTTTTTTCTCGTTGTCTTTTTTTCTTTTTTTTCTTTTTTCTTTTTTTTTTTCCTTCTTTTTTTCTTTTTTTTTTTTTTTTTTTTTTTTTTTTTTCTTTTTTTCTTTTCTTTCTTTGCCATTGAGCCGAACGTTATCTGCGCGCCTGGTCTGTCTACGATAGACGAACTGGTAGGTCCGGAATAAATACAGCATTTACGCAGTGTTCGGTCTTTTCGGGTGCTACGCGAGGGTCACTCACTGCATTTCCGGAGATGTGGGGAGTGCGACCCCGCGGAGTTAGGGGAGTGAGGAACGGTTTTGGTATAGTATAGGAAGAAGTAGGTGGTTCCCCCTGAAGAAGACAGTGTGGCGGCTGTCGAAACCGGTTGGGGTGCCATACCCACCGGCTTGTGTGCTTTGGCTGTATTTGTACTTGTTGTCGTGTATAATCATTGCTTTGCGCATGGAAACATTTTGACTTCGAGACACGAGTGATTGTACTTGACTTGTCATACTTTGTGTGATTGTCACTTTAGCTTTCACTCCGTTCATTTCAAAACTCTGAAGGCCCGTGTGAACCAGTCGGGAAGCTGCCCGACGAGCGTAAGCATGTAGTGGGTGTTGATACCGTGTGTTCGATCGTTGCTACGTCATTTGATGCTGTTTGTTTGGTACTATCGTTTGGAGGAAGAGTGTACTCGTGACGAGAGGCTATCGTGTTTCCGTTTTCAAGGAGGGAAGGCAGCAGCGTGCAGCTGTCATCATCCTATAAGTGTGTGCATCAGTTGGGTAGGGGTTGAAGATGTCAGGCCCTCGAGACTCTTGGGATTACCGACACGGCTATGATCGTGATCGCGGATGTGACCGCGAGCACTACCACGGACACATCGAAGGTGGCCGTGAGCCGGTTTTGGACAATCGACGCGACCGGCAGGGAGATTCTCGTCAAGAACGATATCGGGATCCGCCAAGGCGATCTGTTCCCGTATGCTACGAGTGCGGTGAACCTGGACACTATAAAAATCAGTGTCCCAGGTTAGTTGGCGAGAGCAGCTCTAAGTTTCCCTCAGGTTACCGTGGACGCTCGACTTCTCCAACGAACAGGACGCGAGTGCGAGAATCACGATCGGCTTCCAAGGAACCAGCTCTACGCAAGCAACTTGATGACCTTGCTAGCTCCTTAGCTACGATGAAGAATTATATTGATGCTGAACAGGCTCGCAAGGAGGAGAAGGAGAAGGAGAGGAAGGAGAAGGAGAGACGTAGGCAAAAAGAACAGGAACGCGAGCAGAGGGAAGAAGAGGCATGTTTGGTTCGGGAGAAGCGGGACGAAAAAAGACGTGTCAAGAAAGAAGAGGCAAAGCGCAAGGATGCGGAGTTTCGTGAATCTTTACCAAAGGAACTGAAGATGGAGGTCCGCCGACACGTTGGGGGGGAATGGGAGGAACTGCAACATCGTTTAGTCGAGACCTTACCAAAAAGTAAGGTCAGTAAAGGCAAAGAGCAGATGCCAGTTTACAAATCTGATAGTGACAAGGAGGACTCGGATAATAGTGATGTTGCAACCCTCAATGAGCAAGCTGAAGAATTGGCGATTAGTGAGAAAAGGAAGCGCAGCGTTGAACGAGCTGTTGGGAACAGCCCACCGTTGGAAACTCCGGCCAAAGGACGTACTAAGCGGGGCCTGCTGGACACGAAACGCCTCGTCCTTAGCTGCCGCCATCCAGCGATGAAGAGATCGCCTAACGAGAAGACTTCGCTGCGAAGCAATATGAAGAAGAAGAAGATTCCAGCGACTGCGGGCGCTCAGGGGAAGGTGCGTTATGTCACGGAGAACTTGCAAGAATTGGGAGGTTTGAATGTCGATGAACTCAAACAGATCTGTAAAGAGGAAGAGGTGCATTTTGAGGGAAAGAAGAAGATGGACACCATATTGGCGATTACGGAGAAGCGCACTCAGGTCGCTTACGGTTGCGAGGAGCATGAGGAGGAGACCGGCGAAGATGTTACCGAGGAAGGTGACGATATTATCAAGAGTGGTAATCAGACCCCCGAGGGCGACGAAGCGGATTACTCGGAGGAGTCCGATAACTGAAGCATTCGTGATTACTGGAATTTGTGCAGAGCATTGGTAGAGGTCCGACATGAAAAGCAGTTTGACGCTACTATCGAATCGCTGTATAGACTAGTTATCATCTTGCTGGCACTGTACGATCAGATTCGATGGTTGCGCAAGTGCGTGGCTTCTTGGATTAGTCTGTATAGGCGTTTTGGGATTAATGTTTTTAACGGGGAAGAAGGAGGTGTTTATGTACTAACCTCATCTACATGTAAAGCCCAATACGTCGGCCAGACTAAGAGATCTGCTAACGTTCGCTGGAAGGAGCACTTATATGTATGTGGGAGAAAGACCAAGCAAACACACCTGTATAGGTGGTGGCAAGTTTTTGGTTCTGAGTCGTACGTACTGTTGCCTATTGACGTTTGCTCCGCCTCGGAACTGCCGGTACTCGAACAGTTGTACATACATCGATGGTCTCCCGTGTTGAATACAACAGGTAAGCAGGGGCACAGAGGTAAGAAGAGTATTAGACAAGGTAAACGTGAGCGTGCGAAGTGTGGTAGGAAGATACACACGCCTGTTGTGGAATCACCCGTTCGACCGGTTAAAGCTAAACTGCTTAATAAGGATATTTTGAATTTGGATTTCTACCAATTGTTGAATAATCAGAACTCGGTTGATTGTCGCAGCTTCTCGATTACGGTTGAGCCAGGGAACGGATGGTGTGGCGGTTGGAAGGGTATTAAGTCGGCTTTCGGGAATTCCATTGTATCATGTGGTGGTCAACGTAAAAAACTGCGTGAATGCAAAAATGTTTTGGAGCAAGGAGGTCCTTTTGAGGTGGTTCATCTGGTTAAATGGAAACCGAAAGCTGGCCCTGATAAGAAGTTTTTGCGATTTCTGTTTCGTAATCCACGTCGCATAGATTGTTTGAAGAAGTGTAATTTGGATGTTTTGATTAGATTGATTAAGGCTGCCGGTGATTTCAATAAGGCTTCTTCTGTCGCTTTCTTATGACGTACGATAGTAAGAGTCATTAAAGAGAAGTACGGGTGGAGTGTTAACGCCAAGTTAGTGGTTCGATTGAAATTCGATGATCGTATCAGACTAGTGGAAGTACGGAAGTTAGTTAATGACAAGATCGAGGAATTGGACATTCCAGACTGTTTGAAGGATGTGTCACATGGTAAGATTCAGATTGTATGGGTTAAAAACCCGTCTGTTTCCGGGATATTACACAATCAGCGGCGTTTCGCCAAGGCTGATGTGTTGACCTGCGCATGTGCAGGTTTTCCCTACCCACGGGTGGGAGACCACGTTCGTTTCCGATTGCAGGAACTGGAAGGGGTCAATCCCCTGATCTGTAATGCAAATAACGTACCGAAACTGGATGCGGCAGACCGTGAAACTCTGCTAGCACAGGAGATTTCAACCGGATTCACGACGTGGATCAACTGTGGTAAAAAGGGTGTCTCTGTTCAGAGATGTGAAGTTGTGCAATGTATGTCGAAGCCTGTGACTGAAGGTGGGGAGTACTTGGATTCGAAGGAGGTGGAAGCTTTGAGAGTGAGATTGGATGGGTTGGTACTCACCCCATTGGATGGGAATCCAGGCGAAACTTTAGTCATGTGTCCTAAGCTTTATTTTGATGCTATGATGAAGATGTTCGTTTTGTCCTCAGGTTACACTATCATCGAGGACAGCGAGAAGGCAATTCTTCAGAAGATGTTGGCTGACGTAAAAGCATCGGGTTTGCAAAAGTTCGCTAAGTGGGATTCTAAAGGGAAGGTGGGTGAGGCATACATTATGCCCAAACACAAGGATTTGTCACGATTTAGACCAATCTGCCCGACTTATTCCGAACCGACTGTTCGGACTTGTCGAGTAGTGGCCCGGGCGCTTAATCACCTTCTGTTGATGATGCCGGGTGATTGGCATTTTAATCTGAGATCGGTATCAGATTTGGTGCGCCTGGAAAAGGGTAACAAGAATTTTCGTCATTTGATGACAGGCAACTCTGAACTTGTCTCTATGTCTTATGACATAAAAGACATGTTCAGTAAATTGCTGCATACGGATATCTTGAAGGCGGTAAATTGGGTGATCGAGTACCACCGCGACAAAGGGAGGAACTGGATCCGAGTGAACACAAGGAGCAAAGGCTGCACGTTTGGAGTAACTACAGGCGAGGATCATTGGCGCCGGTTAGAGTTTGATCAGATTCGAGTGTTCGTGGAGTGGGAGTTGAGTCACACCTTTACCAAAGCAACGAGCATCTTACTGCGGCAAGTGGTGGGTATCCCGATGGGGAAAGGGACAAGCCCGCCCCTTGCTTGCATGCTTTGTGCTTTTGCGGAATACCAATTTCTGCAAAGCTTGGGAGGATGGCGTCGTTTTGTGTTCGGGGTGCGTCTAATGGATGACGTAAGCTTGGTTATACTGAGTGGAGGGCGCAAGAAGGTACCAGTTGATTTTGTTCAAAGAAGCTTCGAAGGGTGTTACCCTGAGAACTTGACTTTGAAAAGAACTGATGAGGGGGATGGTACGTGGGATTTTTTGGGAACAAAGATGTGCGTGGAGGACGTCTACCCCTATATTCGTTGTGTCCAGTTTTCGAAGAACGAGTCATCTTCTTGGGAACTAGGATATCTGGAATACAAGAACGGCCAGACTTACCACTCTTGGGGAAGTAAAGAGCAAAAGAGTGCTGTGGTGGGAAGCTGCTTGCATCGGATTGAACGCAATACAAATGTGCAGTCGGCCATCCCTATGAGAGTGCTGAGTCTACAGCGCGAACTGCGCATCAGGAGTTTTCCGTCTTCTGCCCTGAAGCGTGTTTTGAAACGTTTTGCCAAAGGCAGAGATATCATTTGGACTTGGACATATGATTGGCTTTTGGGGGACGACAAGTGGTGAGACTACCTGCTGTGGAGGCTACGATGGGTGATGGACTCATGTGGTAGACGACAGTGTATCGGTTTTTTTAGACCCTGGACCTTCAGTGTTGATATAGGGACAGGGAGTCCTGCAGCGTTGGTCTGTTTTCATTGGTTTGCACCGTGTGATGCTTTTCGCCTTTCGTTTTTTTGTGTTTTGTTTTTCGTGTTGCTGATAGAACTGTGTGTTGCAGGGATAGAAACAGGGCGTTTTTCGGAGTATGTGTGAATGACCCAGGTGTTGCCTGAAGTAGGCCTGATTGGTTTTGTGTGAGTTTCGCTTGGGCCGGCAGTGGGTCTGGGCTCGTACTGTTGACCTTTGGACAGTAGGCAGGTGTGATGTTTTTCTTTTGGGTGGTTTTGTGTGGTTTTGACTTGTTTTTGTATGAGTATCGCTTGGGTTGGCAGTGGGTCTGGGCTCGTACTGTTGACTTTTGGACAGTAGGCAGGTGTGATGTTTTTTTTCTTTCTTTGCCATTGAGCCGAACGTTATCTGCGCGCCTGGTCTGTCTACGACAGACGAACTGGTAGGTCCAGAATAAATACAGCATTTACGCAGTGTTCGGTCTTTTCGGGTGCTACGCGAGGGTCACTCACTGCATTTCCGGAGATGTGGGGAGTGCGACCCCGC